TTTTGAAAAAGTGGCATTTTTATAAAGGTTTTAAAAGTGTGGTATTTTTGTAAAGTGACACTTGAAAAGTGGCAATTTTTTGAAATTTCTCAAATATTTTCATAATTTAGGTGTTACATTTAGTGATTTTTGTCTTTCTGGAATGTTACGTAGGATATTTAAAAACGAGTTAAGGAGATCACAAATGCGGCGTCGAAAAAGAGGAACTATTAGAGATTTAGATCGACATGTGCATCTCCATTTTGGTCACTGGCTTAAGCAAAAAGTAGAAAAAAATGAAATTAATGGTGTTTCTGTTGATACTCGTTGCCTTGCACAAGGTCCATCTGATAAGGTTTTAAAATTTTCTGCATATAATATCAATGGCTTCAAGTTTAGAACTATAGAGAGGGAACAAGATCTAAGTACACAGAATAATGCAGTTTTTGTCTCATCTGAAACAATTAGTTATGCAAGTTCTCGTGATCTTAATCCTAGAGTTGGAGATGTTTCTTATTATGGAAAGCTAACTGAAATTCTGGAGTTGAACTACTACGATTCTTTTAGGGTTGTGTTGTTCAAATGCAAATGGTTTAACACTCGAGATGCTCGGGGTTATAAGAAGGATGATTTTGGTCACACTATGGTAAATTTTACGCATCTGATACACACTGGAAATGGTGAAGAAGATGAACCTTACATATTAGCTTCTCAGGCGAGACTGGTTTATTACGTAAAAGATCCACAAGAAGATGGTTGGAGCGTTGTTGTACACATCCAACCAAGAGACTTATATGATATGGGCGATCCTGTTTCAGATGAGAGTCATGAGACCCTTCAAGAAATTGATGATCCTCCTGTTCAAAGATCAATGCTTAACGAGATCTTGACAATTCTCAAATTTCATGTGATTTAGATGACAACATGGAGGTGCTTGATTTGATTAATTATTTTTTAATGATCATGACTTTAAAGTTTATCCTAACATTTTGTGCTGTTATCATTACAGGTTTAGGTATGGCTGAAACAATTTTTCAAGCTCAGCGTAATGAAGAGCCCTTAGCTCCACCTCCTCTTGGACCAGAATTAGCTAGTGGAAAATGGAGAGTTCGAGTTATAGGTTTGTAAATCTTATGCTATTGAATTGGAATCATGTTATATTGATTGTTCTGAAATAACATGTGTTTTGCTTCTTAGATGATGATGGAAAATTACAGAGGAAATGGTTTCAGGAAAACAAGTGTGGAGCATGTTAAATCGCAGGGTGATGGTTGATTTTAACCGAAGAGGACAACCTATCAAGGACTCAGGAGGTTTGTTTGGTACTTGGATAGGGTCATTGAGTAATGATCTTAACATCTTACCTATTGATTACACCGATTGGAGGTTAGTGTCTAGTTAAAGGAAATAAATGGCTTGGAAAGTGATCCAGGTATTTTCAAATCTCTTTATTCATCTACAAATCCTGAGTTCTGAGATTATACATTTTTTGTTTTAAAATAGAAATATGTTCTACTTTTTATATGAAAACAGAAAAAAATTTGGTTTGATGATCCAAATAAGAGGAAGAAGTATGTATTATCCGCTTTGGGAGCTAGATGTAGAAACTTGAAGCAACGCATTTGGGACAAGTATAGGCGAAATACTCTAGAAGAATAAATCAAAGAGCGACCAACATTGATTCCGGAAGACCAATGGATGCGTTTTGTACATATCCAATTCAATGATAAGTCTAAGGTAAAAATGATTTAATATATACGGTTCTGCTTTGTGTATATGATATATTTGTATCTTTATGTGATATTGTTGTATATAGAGAACAAGAGCGCGTAATATTGAGAACCGAAGCAAATTAAAGATAATGCATGCTCTTGGAAAAAAGAGCTTGGCAAGAATAGCTTATGAAGTTGTAAGTTTTAGTTATATTAACTGTGTCTTTTTGTATCATTCCTTGGATTTGTTTGAGGTTGATGTATTCAAGGAGTTATGTTAACTACTTACACATTTTCAGCTAGAAGAGACGGGCATAGAACCGAGTCGGGGTGAGCATTTTATTGCATCACTCACAAGATCAGATGGAAGTTTTGTTTGCAATGAAGCAAAAATTTGTGCGGTTAGTTCTTTGTTTCTCCTTCACCTACTTTGTAATATGATCTGTTTGAATCTTCTTACATGGTAATCATTAAGTCATCAAAATTGTAGGATAAGCTTACACAAGTCATAAATCAAAACATTCAAAATGAAGCATCAACTAATAAGAATGGTTCAAAGGATGCATTTGAACAAGTATTTGATCCTGAACATTCTGGAAGAGTTCGATGTGTAGGACGTGGCCCGACACCATCCAAATACTTTAAGAGATTGGAAACGCAAACATCAAGTGCTGCTGAGATGGTTGAGATTAAGTCTTACGTGAAAAGACTTGAAGATAAGGTTGATATAATGGCTTCTGCTCTTCAGACTCTGATTTTAAAGACTCAATTCCAAGTAAGTGCACATTTCTTATGGTCAGTAAACTAATTTGTTTGTAGATAACGGAAATTGATCATTTCTATATAGGGGAGCACAAAATTTAACGACCTTCATCAAACATCCAGTAACTCTAGTGATCAGGTAACATCAATTGTCAATATATGTAGTTTTTAACTTGCTGAATAACCTAAATAGTAACATCTTATCCATGATTTCAGACAAGTACCATGACAAACAATGCAAATTAACTTGGATTACATGATTGCTCTGGATTTCGATAAAGAATGGTATGTTCATCGAATGCTTTACATGATTACATGATTGCTCTAGATTTCGATAAAAAATCTGATTTGTCTTTGTAATATTTGTCACACTGCAGGAACATAATCATAATTTTGGAAATATGATCAAGAGGCAGAGCCAGGAGAAGAGAAAGCAATAAAAAAAAAGTATAGTCTATTGAGCTTAAAATCTGATTCAATGATTGTAAAAGTAGAGAGAAGTGGATTATGGGATTTTTATATGTTATGACTATAATTTGAATTTTATGAATTGTGTTTACATGATTCAGTGATTTTGAAAATATAGTTTATTAAGCTTTTACCAATTAAATTTAATATTAAAATAGTGTGCAATAGTGCATGCATACGTCGGTTTTGAATCTCTTTATAATTGACGCTAAAGACAAAAACAAACGACGTTAATATTTGACGTTTGAAATAAGGTCAGTTCTTTTTTTTTGTTTCACGGGAAGATTTGGTATTATTACATATCCCAAACATACAAAGGAGAGTACAATACTTAGCCCGAAAGTTTTACGGGGAGCACGAGCCTGAAATATTACTGGGGAGCATAAGCCCGAAAGATTACTGGGGAGCATTGTTACGACAACGGGGTC